GATGTTGCAACTCAACTGTTGTTGAGATCCGATGTTGCTGTGTCACGTCAGTACTAACTATGAACTCACAGGCAGAGATCGTTCGAGAACTCTGAAGGGAGAAGTTACACGTTGCATCGTGCCAAAATTTTAAACCTTTTATCTGTAAATATATATGTAGATATTTTGCGTCATATTAAAATGTGTTTTGTGTAAAGAATGTATCGATCAACTGTGGATTAATTAATCTCAAAAGATGTGCAGAGATAGATGGAAGATAAAGGATCATCAACCAGTGGCCCTGGCACTGAGAACCCGCTGAGAAAAAGGAAAGCATCTTTTGTTTTATCTTGATTAATTAATTCATTTGAAAATTACACATAATAATAATAACCTCAAACCGCCTTCCGTGCAAGGAGATGTGTGAGAGCTTTCGATTTCTGACACCACGCATTTTTTACGCTCACACAGAAATATGCTCACATGGAAATAAGCCCAGTGATAAATAATTCACATAGAAATATCCTTACATTAATGAATCATAATTAATTGATTTGAACATCGTACACCTACTTGAAATTTTCTAAAGAAAATTTATTTAAATTATCAAAACATCTATGGTATATATTTCAAAAACTTAATAACTTATGTGTAGATTCAGTTGCTATATAAGATTAACAAACGGGCCGTTTTGAATTAAGAAATGAATAGGAGAAAGGAAGTAAAAATGACATAGAATTATACAGTGAAAAATTATTACAATTTTAATTGTTAAAAAAATAAAAAATAATAAATGTAAGTTACAAATTTTGTAATATTGTTGCGTTCTTCTTTTCTGACACCAGTTGTTACGTTATTTTCTTCCTTCACGTTCGTACGGTATTCGTGAGGATTTGGAGTGAATAACGACGACACTTGATGAAGTATCGAAACTCACTTTATTAGCCAGTTTTCTCAGGACAGCTCCAAAATTCCGTTTACACAATCGTCGAAGAATTACAATAAACACGCTGGAACAATCAGCGACACAGCCTTCAGGTTATCAGGCTATAACGGTGGAGACAGTTTCACTGCAAAGCACCCGAGTACAGCTCCCGTCTCTGCTCTGTCGTTCTCGGAACTCCACGTACTCTCGAGACTACCATGCTACAACTCTCGATGCACTCGACGACACACAGATCACGGCTCCCGACTCTTCGGTTCAGTCGTTCTTAGAGCTCAACACGCTCTCTCGACGATGCACTAACCGCGAAACATAAGAGACTCCTTCGGTGCACTCGAAGACCCACTCGCTGCCCGCGATGCACTCGGCTCGGCAACTCCGCATTGACTCGCTAGACGAGACACACTCTCGATGAGAGACACACACTAACTGACGGCAGGCCAGCAGGGTTTATATAGCTTTCGGTTTGTGTTCGACAACATTCTGGGCTAAACCGGTAAGAATTCGTTCCAGAAGGTTCTCCGACCGTCCATGGTATATCACCAATTTTGTCGCCAAACGTGGCAACCCTGCCTTCCCTTGCTATTTTATGGCAACCCTAAAACTGCTTTGCGGGGAAGCCATCTTACCGCTCCTGTACATTTCGTAACAATATAAACATTTAGAAGAATAGCGAATAATGGAATGAGAATTTAGAATGATTATTTTATTGAAATTACGTAAAACATTTAATTTTATCATCGATTTCATCATAGTTTCTTACATGATTCACAATTACCAAATGTAAGTTTTCATGTTTTCTTTTTTATTTTACTTCAGTACATCCTGTATTTACATTAGCTAATAACAAACGTTGAGAGGCTAAATCTTTTTTCAGCCCGTCAAATGAAAACTACATACTGGGATGGCTACAATTAAATAAGAAATTTAGTGCGTTATGAGAGCATTCGCAACAATTTGTGGTTTTAGGAGATTTTTCGAAGGCTGCTTCATAATGTTCAACTGAGAGGCATCATCAAAGTGCCTAAAAATGTTAATTTTATTTCTAAAATTTTTAATTTCTGCAGAAATTTTACAACATTTTTGGCTCCAAACTTGAATAATTACATTCAAACATCAATTTCTATCGATATACATCAAAAGTATGCAAAAATAGAATAAAGAAACAAAAATTAATTATGGGCAGTTACAGGAAAAAATATCGTACAGGGGCAGTGATATAAAATATTACAGTACATGAAAAATTTTACTGCAGTTTCCATGCTTTTATTTACCGCCCTAAAAAGGTTAATGTGAGCATTTATCCATGTGAAAAAATTTTATGTGAGGTGTTTTTCATGTGAGCATATTTCTAAATGATCATTTTTCCATGTGAGTGTTTTTCTATGTGGGCATATTTCTTTATGGACTTTTTTATTGTGAGCTTTTACACCTGCGATCATTTTTCCTGTGGACATTTTTCCGGTCACCGATTTTGTAATGTTGGATATCTTCTGCATCTCGTATGCAGGAGAAAATTATGACAGTCGTTGATGACCAATCCTGTCGGTCAGTGCGTAGTATCATAATGCGATCACTGTCACTGATGTCCTGTGACGAGACGATGGGAGGTATTAGAACATCAGCAATATTCGCCATAACTTCGGTATTATTATGATGTGTATACTTTCACTGCACTCAAATAGTGAGTAAAATGTAGGAAATTTCTGCAGATGACATCATTGTGGCCTGAAATCATTATTCTGGCATGCATTCTTCAGTTACGGATATGGTAAAGGAAATGTTATAGTGTAACCCCACGGCTCAACGAGCGCCACCTAGCAGCCGCCGGAATAAACACCAACCTAAAAAAAAAACGACTCTAGCCTTCAGTCGATGTACGGGAGTCATGAACTAAGCATGCTGTTTCCCCGAGATTTACTTTGTAACTTAAATGTGTAATTATACCTCCCTTAATTGTAATGTTTTATCTCAATTGTGTTTTGTTAATTAAAACTATTTAAAAAGGCCAACTGAGTTTTTTGTTTATGGTAGTTTTGGTTATAATAGGTCATAACCTTCATGAGTAATGACCACTTTATCCAAACTATACAAAATTAAACCAGTAAATATTCAGAATATCTCTACAAATATTCCGAGGGAAATCAACAATGTTTTGGGAGATGTAATAGAAATTATATAGCTTAACTCTTGATTTCAAAAGAAACTCATTAAAAAGCAGGATTGACGGCAGTAATAAATGTCTAAAAATTTCGCAAACATTTTGTGTAATATCGGTTTTTAACAATGTAGTTACTTTATATTGCCTTTTGGTTTATAAATAAAAAAATTGTAAGAACGAAGAAGTTCCAAATGAGATTTGATTTTTAACTTTGGAAGATAAATGTTTAATCTCTTACATGTAAAAATAATTAATTTTGGCCTTAAAACCCTCTCAGCGTTAAGGCCGGAAAATTACGTACAGAAGATTGCCTTCCACATTCATTATACATGAAACTTTCTGCTAGCTTTTAATGTATCTGATTTCAGTTTGGATGTATATTGGAGGAAAAGGAATCAAGGTACAAAATGAAAGAGTCATTTTTTAATTAAAATCAAGAAAATATCACTTATTCATGACATTTTGAGGAACTTTGAAATTTCAAGGCTAAACCCGTAACTCTCAGAGGGGTGCATTCGTTTGCTATTATAATAATAAATAAAATTTTGCATTGTATATTACAGTATATGTTATCAATAATATTTTAGTTTTTAAAAGCTGTGTCGTACCTACTTAAATAAAAATAATTTTCAGTTGCTAGATTTAATATTCCTAATTGCTATACACAGTATCTCTCTCATACGACTAAATTTCATATTAACTTGTATGTAAATAACATTTCATTTTACGTATGCTCATGTAAAATTATTTATTTGTAATACATGATGTTAAACATATATAAAATAAGCATAACATTAAATATTTGTAAATTATATAATCAAGCTTTGAAATAAAGTTTCTATTGCAATTTTTAGGAAATAATATTACAGTTATATGTTCCTGAGAACACATGGAAGAAGGTACATAAACTACTAACGAAACTTTTTCCTAGACTTAAAAGGCGGAAGGCATATATAAACCAATCGCAGATACTAATAGGTACCTAATAAACAGCTGAACCTTAAGTAAAGTGATTTGAAACCTGGCACTCTACTTAGGTGCAGAGTTTCTTTCATAAACATACTAGAATTTTTTTGGAGGTTTACGTTAGTTTAACTCATAGCTTAGGAATACAGAAAAATTAAGTAAAAGGTATATACATTGCGAAAACCTGAAACATGTATATACTTTATTTTTGCTAATAGTCTGTTTTAGCTCTTACCATAAAATGTATAAAAAATATTTAGAAATTTCTTCATATAAATCGAATATATTCCTTTGTAGCACATAATAATAACGTAAAGCGTCTAGTCTATACTTCCAACTAAATTAAACTAAATATGACACAGCGTGCGTAGGAATATAAAATATCAGTAAGATATTTGATATAATTGCTATTTAATGCAATAATTTTAATAAACATTTGAAATACACGAAAATTTTTTTATCATATTTAAGGTACGATTATACTTGATATAAACATAAATCTGCTACGTAGTCTGAGTGAAACAAAACTACTTGAATATTTAACCTATAATAATAACTAAACAAACCATGATTTAAATAGTACATACTGTATGCTTAATTTGTATACTTAATAACTTGCATGTGTAATAAATTTACACTCCAAAGTTACTGCAGTATATATGACCCAGTTTCTCTTAGAAAGTCCTCCACAAAGGCTTCCGTCCTCTTAAGCAGACAGCCCTGGAGTGCTATGTAATAATTAATCAAACTAAACCAAAGTTAGGGGATTTCAGCCTCTTCTGTAGCTTTAAAGCTCTACTTGTATGTCATTCCATTAATAATTAATAACCAGAGGAAGACAAACGTTAAAATAGAAAAAAAATTTAAAAATTGTATTTTATGTCAAAGCGATTAAATAACCATTAAGCTAAAATAGATGGTTTTTAATATAGTCTGACAGAGGCAACTTACCTTGGTTATAAAAGAAACTTGTCTGAGCTCCACTTAGTTTTTTTTTCTAGCAGGGTATGGGGAGATTTGAGCTTGAGTCGTTTAAAATGGTTATTTTTTCCTTTCGCAATTTCTGTTTGATGCTGAAATATGCATATCTGATCTTATGACACAATTACACAGAAGACACATCCCTCCTCAAAATTATATTGTGATAAATTTTATAATTTGTCGAACCAAGTAGAACAAAGAAAACGGTTTGACCTTGTTGAATACGGAAAAACTTTTCATCTTAATTATCATCGCTTATAGCAGGAAAGCTCGCGTATATATTTAATTCTTTCCTTAGCAGTTGCTGTCTTAATTTTTTTTAACTGTTAGAAGATATATAAAAGCATTGTTTGAAACCGTGAAATTGACTGAATAAAAACTTTTTCATTGATGATGAAGAAATTTCATATTGCTAATAAACTTAAAAATAAATAATTTTTACTAATACCTGAAAAAATTTGCATACAATTTATTGCTCTGAGGTAATAACTAAGTGGTTGGTTAACAGAGATCTTGGAAAGATAAAGCGAACCTTTTACTATATAAACACTAGTCCCTACTAATATATCATTTGATCGGGAATCTAGAAGTAATATTATAAACAGTATTATCCGTAATTAAAATACACGGAAAATCCACATGAAGTTTCATGCATCAATGTTTACAAATTTTTCTTACTGAAGCTCAAACTAGGTATTAGGCCACATCTAAAAACAAAACCACTCATCATAAAGCATTTACACCCTCTACTTGCGATTAAAAGGGATTTTTAGATAGAATTTCTTACACTCTCAGATGTTCAGAGCATTCAAGATTATTAGTGGCAAATGAAATCCTCAAAGTTAATTTCTAAAACATCTTACGTATTTCAGTACAAATTCAACTATTTCTAATTAAGAAAAATGTTATATAAATAACAAGAACAAATAAAACAATGTTTGTTTATGCTAACTATATATGTTTATTATATTAACTACATACATTATGCATGTTAACTATATATGTTTCAAGAATATGAAAAAACTTTCATATCAAATATTACTGTCACAACATTTATATTCAAGTGTCAGGAACTTCAAATTTAATCAAGACTTTCTATAACACCAGAAAATATTAAACGAGTACAAGTAACTAGAACCGGGACAAGGGTGAAGCGAGGGAGACACTTGCTTTAGGAGAAAAATTAGAAAGAGCACGAAATTAGCTGTAACAAGTCCATTTTAAAAATTGAATTAGGATTGTTAATTTCCAACTTTGAAACATATTTAGCATATTTAATGTAACTTAGTAAGAAACTCGAAGTAATTAGTTAATTAGTAATTTAAAGTAAAGTTAATTAAAGTAAAAGCATATTTAAAGTAACAAAATTTTATCAGGGAAATGATAATTTAAGAGCATTGAATTCTTGAAGCTATCTTTCTCTCTATTATAATGCCTGCCTATTTGATTTCCATTAGTCATTCTTTTTGCAGCCATCATATTGGTCAGGCTGGTCCCTCTCAATTCATATTTTGAAGCAGCTTCATGTCACATAATAAGCAACAAAAATATTTAAATATGAATTAATTAATATATTTTACTAATTTTTTGAAAGCTGATTTCTTTAACAAATTTTTTATCGCATGGTTTATATTAAGTCTTAGGATTAAAAGATTTTGTATTATAGACAACTGAATTAAGAGTAGAGTTAGCGAAATTAATTTGCTTTCCAAACTTGCTGCAGTATCACAAATAATTGCATATACCATTTCCTAGCATTAAAATTTATTTTTCGAATCGTTGTAGTGGAGTTGATTTAACTTTGTGGTAATCCCAGCTGCATAGATTTAAATGTGCCCATGTTGCCGACCTAAGTAGTTCTCTGCTGTCTCCCTTTAACATAAACTAGTTATTGCTGCTTTTATTTCGACGTAACAACAAAATAAACTTGTCCAAGTCCACGAACTAAGTGTTCACTCCATGTTTATTTCAGCAAGCTTAAATAAAAGCATGCAAAAATGAAATATACAGTATTGTAAGTCTGTTTCACGATTTTTGAAAACATTTTGACTTAATCCGTTCACCATTATAAAATGCATCATGGAATAAAGCGTGTAGTTTTACCTTTTGTACCCTTGTATCCATATTTAGTTTGCTCCAGAACTGAGCATTTGGTTTCATTTTCGGTTAGTTCTGGAGTAACAATTGTCGCTAGACGGATTAACTGAATCTACAGCTTAGTTTCAATCTACAGCTTAGTTGTTAAGATGGGAATGTGAAGAGATGAAATAAGATATCTTCTTCTAAGCTATTCTAATTTTATAATGAAATAACAAGAAGAATTTTTTTGATATAACAGGAATAAAATGAGGTTTGAATTTTAAAATTTCGTCAGGGAAGAATTAGGGCAAACTAGGTTGAGTAAAGTACGAGTAATTAAGTAACAGAAGGAGTCGGTAATATTCGGTTGTAACTAAAATTCTTAGGAAAGAATTGCAATCAAAGATTTATTTGCCCACAGGTGTCCTGAGTGGATATGAACACTGGTATTTCGATTCAGGCTCAAACTCCAGCGAACGGGCAACTACATGAGTCATTTCGTGTTTTATCCGTGGGTGTGACGTGAACGTCCTCTTTCCCTTAGGCAAATAGCCACCTATATATCGGCTAATTTTTTGAATTATAACATTTTCAAAATACAAAGTACATCCAGAAAGTAAGTTCCGTTTGGTAATAAAAGTACATTGTGTACAGCTAAAGAAAAGTTATTTATTGCACAAAATTCAACAACTCTTAAACTACTTTTCCACATAACTGCCGAAATATTGCAGGCATTTGTCATAGCAGGGCACAAGTTTTTGTATACCTTCTTCATAGAAATTTGCCGCCTGTGTCTTCAACCAGTTGATGGGGCCCACCAGCGGCCGAGCGGTAAAATCGCTGAACACTGGTAGTTCGGTCCGAGGTTCGAATCCCGCGAACGGGCTGGCTGCATGGGCGTTTTCGTGGTTTTCCCCATGTGTAACGTGTATACAAGCCAGTTTCCCTTAGAAAGTCCTCCACGAAAGGCATCCCTCCCCTTAGGCAGATAGCCCTAGTGTGCTTTGCCGTATTCTCAATACACCAACTTCCACCAGTTGGAAACAGTTTCTTTCAGCTCGTCGTCATTGTTGGAGTGTTGACCGCCAAGGAAAGACTTAATATGTAAGAACAGATCAAAGTCGTTAGGAGCGAGGTCAGGGCTGTATGGAGGATGGTGAAACACGTCCCAGCCAAATCCCTGTAGGAGGTTTTTCGTCACATTTGCAGTGTGTGGTCGTGCGTTGTCGTGAAGAAAAACAACACCTTTTGACAGCAATCCTCGGCGCTTATTCTGTATTGCGCGGCGCAATTTCCGAAGTGTCTCGCAATAAGCATCTGCTCTGATTGTTTGACCACGCGGTAAGAAATCAATGAGTAAGATGCCTTTCCAGTCCCAGAACACTGTGCACATCATTTTTCGAGGTGTCAAGATTTGCTTCGGCTTAACCTTTGCTGGGGATGAAGTGTGCCTCCATTCCATTGATTGCCGCTTACTTTCAGGGGTAAACCCAAGTTTAAAGAAGAAGAAACCCAAGTTTCATCTCCTGTGACTATCTGTGTCAGAAATTCTTCGCCGCTTTCAGTATAACGGGTCAAAAACTAAAGTGCACTACCCATCCGTTTTGTTTTGTGTTGCTCAGTAAGAATCTTTGGTACCCAACGTGAGCAAAGTTTACGAAATTTCAGTTTTTCGGTAACAATTTCATGCATTAGTGATCGTGAAATTTGGGGGAATTCCATAGCGAGAGCACTAATTGTAAACCTTCGGTTTTCATGGATCTTGTCATCAATCACGTGAACAGTTCTTTTGTAACCAAAGATGGACTCCCACTTCGTTCTTCATCTTGCACATCACTACGTCCGTCATTGAACTTTCGAACCCATCTTCTCACCATTCAATCACTCATCGCTTTTGGTCCGTAAACATCGCAAATTTGCCGATAAATTTCACTAGGTTTCACTTTCCTCGCATTCAGAAAACGAATCACAGATCTGATTTCACAAGCGGCGGGATTTTCAATCGACACCGACATTGTAAACAAGCACAGCAAAGCGTACGTGACTGACAGCGATCTCCAAATGGCGCGCGTTTCTTCTCCTTGATACAGACCGTCTACTGCGCATGTGCGGAACTGCGATCGCAGAGCTGCAGCGGAGATAAATTGAAACAGAACTTACTTTCTGGACGTGTCTCGCATTTTTCCAGGGAATGTTTATGATTGCTTCAAAAATAGTGTGTAACAAGACCTCCATTTCTGACTGAATCATTAGAGTTATGATAATAATAGAGTTATTTTAAGGTTAATTTGAATAACCTCTGGTTCCATTAGCCTATCCTAAATATATCCCCAAAAATGAATATATAACATTTTTTTCCTTAAACGTTCTTTAGCTATATATGATCTAATAAATGACTTTTGTGACCTATCATCAATTAAAATTTTCCTAATTGACTTCTAGTATTATCTCTATCTGAAGAATAAACAATGCAAGTTTGTAAATAGAACCACATTTATAAATAGTTTCATAAACAGTCTTATAGTTTAATGATAGGCATGCAACTACATTCTGCTTAGAATCTGATGATGCTACTATATTCTGTCTAATATCTGAAAGGGATTCAGTTTCAGGAACAATTATTATACGCCGATAGATGGAAAATAAAGCTGGCGTTTAAGGATACAGGATAGAAAAAAATGGTTTAGAGAACGAGAGTGATGTGAGTTAAATTACACAGGTTACAGTTGACGTATGTATATGTATGCTAAGTGCATTTATAAACAAAACTTATTTAATACTGTGAGTCATGCTGTTTAATCACGGTAGAGTGTGAGAAAACACACCTTTAACATCTAAGAACCTTTAAATCTAAGTGGGATATCATGTAGATTATTCATAGCTAAATGCCTATCGGATCACTCATGTACCATGAGCGTCGAAGAAGAGGTAAGATTCGATTTTAAAAATTTGAGTTCATGCGAATTGCAGAATAATTATAGTGAAATACCTGTGATATTTCTTACAGAGTATAGAATTTAGAAGTATAGAATC